CTACAGTTAAAATGTTCTGTGGATTAAAAACATGGATTTCTGCACCAGAATATAGTGCAATTCTAACACACGTGGCTTTACCACCCGTTCACTAGTAAAGTATTTTATTTTTTAATAAATTTTAGTCAAAATGTATAACAAGTCGCGGTTCTAGAATGACAACTTCATAAATATTTCCTCTTTAAAGAAAATAATTAGATATTATTAGGGTTAAATTTGTTGTTAGATATTATAAGCTAAAATCAATCTAAATGTTATAAACATAATAGAAAACGACATGACTTTCTTCTCAATAATAATATTCTAACATGTAAAATTAAAAAATAACATCTATTATAATATATGATTCTCACTGCTTTTTTCGTTGATTTAAATTTAACAGAATGATTAATTTGAAACAATTGCATTGATGGAGAAACTCTCTACGGATATCTTAACCTTGTCTATGGATCTCATTTCTCCGAGCTACAATCTAAACTGAAATATACAAAATACAAAAGAAAAAAAATATATATATACATATATATATATATCCTAACTAAGATTTAAATTTAAAAATTAAAAATTTTATCTATTTTGGTATCTACAATTTGGAATTCCGAAATCCAAATAGAAACAAACGACAAATACATGGCTCGTCCTACATCGGCAACTTTACATGAGCGGCTCTCTGTGATCTCATTCTGCTTTTGACAGCTATGTCCCATCGTGTTATTCGTTGGATTGGGCCTGAGCCATCGGAGAATAAAATCTGGGTAGTGGAATGGATCATATTTTGGGACTTTCCGGAAAACAAATATATATAATGTATTATTATTATTATTATTATTATTATAAAGCTAGATAAGTAAGGGGTATTTATATTTTTATACTTTTTATTTTAGATTTATTTAAAATTTATATTTTCAGTTTTTAATCTCATTAAATATATACATTTAAATTTAATTTAATATACAAATTTATATTTTTTCATAATCAATCATTATTTTAATCTTAAAAATACTTAAAAATACTTAAAATACCCTTTAGTTAAAACATAAAAAAGGGAAAAAAATGAAAAATAACTTTAAACTTATAATTTTGATCTTTAAAATATGTAAAATACCAATCAAATGGTTTTTTTTTTTTGTGTTATTAGTTTTTAATTATCATATTTAAAGAGATTAAAAACTAAAAGTATAGATTTTAAGGGGTTGTTCTTTTGTCCAAAAAATTTAAAAAAAGACAATTCGAGTTTCAACTTTATTCAAGTTCATGTTTTTTTAAGTTTCAACTTTATTCAATTTTATTCAATTTTATTCAAGTTACAACTTCAACTCAAGTTATAACTCAAAAACTACACTCAAATTACACTCTAAAAAAGAATAACCCTTAAATAAACTTATGGTATAAAAATCCAAAGTGAAACGACCGTTTTTGCCTAATAATATCCAACCCGCCGGTTTCTGAAATATATCTATTAAGGGTCATCTTTGGTTTCCATTTTGTGGCCCATTGTTTTGAGGACCGACTCTTGTGGCGGCTCAAAGTGACAAGTCTACTACTAGAGTCGTGACAGCCATCAATTTGACGATGGTTATCACCACTTATTAATTTTTGATTAGTCATTCGTGTACGTATTTAGATAAGAGCCTCATATATGTCGTAAGAGTGAAGAAAGTTAAAACACACATATCATTGGAATCCCATGCATGCCTTCGGCTTATATTATTATCCCCTCCCTTTTAGTCTCACTTCTAGAAATTGTTTATTGACGAGAAATTGACTCTAATTGCAAGTTTCGGAAGGGAGGAAAAAAGACAAAAAAAAAAAATAGAGACTAAAAAGGTATCATTTTAGACAAATAAAGCATAAAGAAGCAAAATTTTCCTCCTTAAACATAATTAAAAGATGCAAGTAGTAAATGAGAAATGTGCATAATACCCAAATAGTAGATGTTTACTCTTATCATTTTCTTCTTCAAAGAAAAAGAATTTACTCTTTAATTTTTTTTGTCTACTTTTAGTTATATACTCTTGTCATTTTAAAGGGTAAAGAATCTTACTGTACATAGAATAATTACCTATATAATGAATAAAATTGCTGACTTTTGGCTTTTCTAGTTTCACGAATGCAATCTTTCTACATTTAACAAGACTCGTATAACTAAGTTTCTTTTTTGAATATAAAACTCTTAAATTGAACAACATGAGCCAGCCCTAGAAAAGACGACAGAGAAAGAAAAAAGAAGGTTCAGATCAGAGTCCTGAGACAGCCTCCGATCGCATCGTTGGACTCTCAATACTATATTTTTGCCGGCAACCTCACAATAATAAGAGCGATAAAATTGTAGAGAAAGCGTCAAAAAAAATAGAGACTAAAAAGGTATCATTTTAGACAAATAAAGCATAAAGAAACAAAATTTTCCTCCTTAAACATAATTAAAAGATGCAAGTAAGTAAATGAGAAATGTGCATAATACCCAAATAGTAGATGTTTACTCTTATCATTTTCTTCTTCAAAGAAAAAGAATTTACTCTTTAATTTTTTTTGTCTACTTTTAGTTATATACTCTTGTCATTTTAAAGGGTAAAGAATCTTACTGTACATAGAATAATTACCTATATAATGAATAAAATTGCTGACTTTTGGCTTTTCTAGTTTCACGAATGCAATCTTTCTACATTTAACAAGACTCGTATAACTAAGTTTCTTTTTTGAATATAAAACTCTTAAATTGAACAACATGAGCCAGCCCCAGAAAAGACGACAGAGAAAGAAAAAAAAAGGTTCAGATCAGAGCCCTGAGACCGCCTCCGATCGCATCGTTGGACTCTCAATACTATATTTTTGCCGGCAACCTCACAATAATAAGAGCGATAAAATTGTAGAGAAAGCGTTTCTCGTTGCAAGGCATATGTGTGGATTATGAGACAAATAAGGGTAGGGATACTGGATGTTTTGGGGTGTCGATTCTCCAACTTCCCTGTTTTGCTTTTTTGAGATCTCATCCTCAGTAGTGCCAATGGTTTCGGCAATACATGTGGTGCATGTATTATTAGTTCAAGTAATAAGATTATTCCATCAACCGTAAAAAAAAAAAAAATGTAGAAAGACTAATATGTATGTGCTTGATTTTTAATATACCTTTTTGGATGACTCGCATTTCGGGAATCTAAAACACATTTTTTCTCTTTGACCTATTCGTTCTAATTAATATAGGTGGAATGGAACAAGTTGTTTCATATATCAAGAAGCCATGTAAATGTGATTTAGTGTTTTAAAGTGTTTGTATTGCTTTTTAATGTCATGAACCATATTTTCTATTTTTTTTTTTTCAGAAATGTTTCTTTAATTCATTTTTTTATGAATAATTTATAGAAGTTTTAAGCCTAGCAATGTTAAAGTATAAAACTATTGTTGGTCCACCTCCTAATAGCTTAAATTTTTGGGATGAATTGATAAACTAACATGGTATCAGAGTGGGAGGTCTTGAATTCAAATCCCCGTAATTGCACCATTTATCAACGTTTAAATTGTCATCATGTATTGGGTCTTTAATATATCTCAGGCTTAAATATTCACGTGTTGGGCTTTATAATTAATTTACTTACACGATTGCTCATTGTTCAGCCCACAAGTGAAGGGTAATGTTAAAGTATAAAATTATTGTTGACCCACCTGCTAATAGCTTAAGCTTTTGTGATGGATTAGTAAACTAATAAGAAAAAAATGTCAATTTTTGTTGTTTTATCTTCAGTGGAATACAAACTTTGGTTCTTTTCTTCCGTATGGTGAAAAGGTTTTTATCATTTGCTCATCGATTTCTAAACTGGAACATAGCATCAAATATTTGTATCGAGTTATCTCTCTAAGACAAATATTGTTGTCTGACATCAACCCTATCAATCGTTCCAAAACCAGTGTCTTAATTTTTTTGTTGTTGTTGAAAAGAAACCAATATCATTTTAGAATAAAAAAAAAACCACATTTGAATTTTAGAGAACAAAAAGTTCGAACTTGATCAAAATTTTCACGTTATTTTTTCTTCAAACAAAAAATAAATTGTAAGGAAGGGTTATTTGTTTCTATTGACATTGTTACCAAGGAAATTATTTAAATTGATGCTAGAAATATCAAATTCTTTGCAAATCCCCTTAAAAAAAATTATTTGCAATGGGTATTAAACACTAACCCCTGTTGCATTCTTTTAGCCACATAAATTAATCACGGTTATGTTGTTCGAAAAATAAAAGTATTTTGGCACAGGTATAAAGCAATACTGTATTAAAAGAACATAGATCTTAACCATAATATTAAATCAAATTATGTTAAATTAAAAAATATGATAAGTTAATGAAGTTTGATAAAAAATTTAACTGTTCAGGATTTTGTTCTACTTGTAGTGTGTATTCATAACCTACCAAAAAAGACTTAGGCTAAATAACAATTTTATTACCTTTTTCCGGAACTAAAATTTGTTTTGTGTCTCAAAAAAAAAAAAAACTAAATTTTGTTAAAACCAATTTCCTCCTTACATAAGTAAAACTGAATTAATTCGAGAAAAAAATGAAAAAAATGAACTGTCATAATTTAATCCTTTTACTTACATATATATATTTTTTCCTTTGAACATATGTTCTTTAACCATTTTACACTTTACTTACAATCAATTAGCTGTCAAGTTCAAAATTATCAAATAAATTGGTGTACCCCAAAGAATTTAGTTACTATTTTTTTTTCTTTTGCTTGTTATCAAGGAAAACAACGGTTGAAATTTGAAAAGAATGAAATGATATCGTTGAGATTTGAGAAAATTTTGGGAGAATTTTATATGGAAAGAGAATAATAAAGCTATAATTTTAAGTTTTCAGCCTCCAAAAAGAGAGAGAAAAAAAAAAAGAAAAAAATAATAATAAGGGAAAAGCATAAGGAGAGGAGAGATTTTAGCTAGCAATAGAAGTGGGGTGGGTCCCAACAGCAAAGTGGTGTACTAGCTGGCAAACTTGTCTGACAGACTGGTTTTCTCCATTCACAACATCAACAACAAACAACCATCTTCTCCATTTTCCTCCTTTTAAACCCTCTTTCTCTCTCACACAACCCGAAAAAGAAGAACAAAACCACCACTCTCTCTCTCTCTCTCTCTCTCAAAAAAAATCCCTCCTTTCCCTTTATCTCTCTTTCTAAACCCACCAAGGAAAACCCAACCTCTCAACATGACGGAGGAAGCCCATAAGCCGGCGGCGGCGGCGGAGACAGCTGCTCCTTCTGCGGAGGAGGTGACTGTGGTCGCCGACGTGCCTCTGGCGCCGGAGAAGCCGGAGACTGAGAAGGAGGCGCCGCCGGTGCCGGAGCCTGAGCCGGTAGTGGCGGAGAAGGCTGCGGCGGTGGTTGAGGAGGTTGTGGGGGCCGAGAAGGCGGAGAAGCCGAAGGCTGTTGTTGAGGAGGAGAAGGCGATTGCTCAGTCGGTGTCGTTTAAGGAGGAGAGCTATGTCGTCAGCGAGCTTCCCGAGGCTCAGAAGAAGGCTCTTGACGAGTTCAAGCAGCTCATCCAGGAGGCACTGAGCAAGCACGAGTTTACGGCTAAGGAGGAAGAGAAGAAGGAGGAAGAGAAGAAGGATGAGGAGAAGAAGGAGGAGGAGAAAACTGAGGAGAAGGAAGAAGAGAAGAAGGAAGAGGAGAAGGAGGAAGAGAAAACCGAAGAGAAAGTCGAGGAGAAAACTGAAGAGAAAACCGAGGAAACCGAAGAGAAAGTCGAGGAGAAAACCGAAGAGAAAGTCGAGGAGAAAACTGAAGAGAAAACCGAGGAGAAAGTCGAAGAGAAGAAAATTGAGGAGAAAACTGAAGAGCCTCTGAAGGATGAGCAAGTGGTGGAGACTGTGGTGGTGGAGAAAGTGACGGCGGTTGTCGATGAGGACGGAGCTAAGACAGTCGAGGCGATCGAGGAGACCGTCGTCGTTTCCATCGATGAGGCGGCGACCTCATCGGCCAAAGCCGGGGAGGAAGAGCCGAAGAAAGCGGAGGAGGAGAAGGAAAAGGAATCCTCCGCCGCCGCCGAGGCCGAAGCCGCGGCGGCGGAGCCGGCTCCCGAGCCTGAAGAGGTCTACATATGGGGAATTCCGCTGCTCGGAGACGAGAGGAGCGACGTGATCCTTCTAAAATTCCTCCGGGCGAGAGACTACAAGGTGAAGGACGCCTTCACCATGATCAAGAACACCGTCCGCTGGAGGAAGGATTTCGGAATCGACACGCTGATCGAGGAGGATCTCGGCAGCGACTGGGATAAGGTTGTGTTCACTCACGGCGTCGACAAGGAAGGCCACTCGGTTTGCTATAACGTATTCGGGGAGTTTCAGAGCAAGGAGTTGTATCAGAACACTTTCGGAGATGAAGAGAAGAGGTCAAAGTTCATCAAGTGGAGAATTCAGTTCTTGGAGAAGAGCATTAGAAAGTTCGATTTCGATCCCAAGGGAATCTCCACAATTGTTCAGGTCAACGACCTCAGAAACTCCCCTGGACTCTTCAAGAGAGAGCACAATCAGGTCACTAACCAGGCTCTTCAGCTTCTTCAAGACAACTACCCTGAGTTCGTTGCCAAACAGGTAAAAATATATATTTTTAGTTGTAGTGGGTCCATCTGTCGAGCAGAATTGGGTCCGGGCTTGTAATTTGTTTTCTACGGATATGATGGGATAGAGGCAAATTATATTTTTGGTTTTTCTGATTGAATTGAATTTTGTGTTTTGTTGTTGAATTAGCTTGATGGGTTTTGGTTTGATTTGCTTTGTGAAGGTGTTTATCAATGTGCCATGGTGGTATTTGGCCTTCAATAGGATGATCAGTCCTTTCCTCACTCAGAGGACCAAGAGCAAGTTTGTATTTGCTGGACCATCGAAGTCCGCCGAGACTCTTTTCAGGTAATTTTACCAATTCATTCATTGCCCATTTGTTTATTGATTTTCCTTTTTATTCTCACAGAGAAAAAGGTTGGTACAATTATTTAAGTCTCTTTTATTAATGGATGTGCACTTTTTTGTTTGGTCACACAGATACATAGCTCCTGAACATGTCCCTGTTCAGTACGGTGGACTGAGCCGTGAGGGCGACCAAGAATTCACCACTTCTGACCCTGTCACTGAGATCACCGTAAAGCCTGCAGCGAAACACACCGTTGAAATCCCAGTCTCTGAGGTAATCAAACAAACCAACATTATTTTCAGCTAATAATTGTACTCCGCATTCGAATGGTTTTCATTTGTTCAATTCTAAGGGTACGGAAAAAAAATCCAGCTGGATTAAACACGATGTATCATAATCATATTAGATTAAAAAAAGTACACATCTTTATCGTTATCATATTATATTAAAAGAAAAAAGTACACTAATTTATCAAATCTTAGATAAGGAAAGGAAGTACACGGGTTTAGCAAAATTTGATGAAAATCTGACCGTTCATAACTGTAGTTCTCCGTAATTTATATTTGTGATCTGACTTGAGAGTGTTATTGTTTTCAGTCGAGCATTCTGGTTTGGGAAATCAGAGCTTTGGGATGGGATGTAACCTATGGAGCTGAATTTGTACCTAGCGCTGAGGATCACTACACTGTAATAGTACAAAAGGCGAGGAAGATCAGCCTGGCAGACGAACCAGTTATCGCAAACAGCTTCAAAGTCGGTGAACCGGGAAAGATTGTGCTCACAATTGACAACCAAAGCTCCAAGAAGAAGAAGCTCTTGTACAGGTCCAAGACCAAGCCTTCTTATGAATAAATAAGCTTCTCAAATCATCATAATAATCAAGTTCCTGCAAGTTTCCCAATCGGATTCTTCGCGACATTCAAAAGATTTGGAGAATAAGCAGGGGGGTTCTTTGTTCTTGAGGAGAAAAAAGAAAAGACGGGGTTTAAAATTTTTTTTATTTTTATTGTTCTCTGTTTCTTTTGGTTGATATTTAATTTTGTTCATGATTCAAAAGAGTCTCTTTGGGGGATTGTATTAAATTTGTTTCTTGTTTTATTATTACTTTTACCTTTTGTTTTGGATTGTAAATCATTTTAGTGGGTGAAAAACAAAGGTCTTGGGATGCGTAAAAGAAGCCACATTTGAGGGGTATATATGTCTTGTTTTTGTGGGAATGGGAATGTGTGTGGACTTTGGACAGATACTATCACTATGGTACTATTTTCTGATACGCTTTGTCTGTAAAATTTGTGTAAATTTGGTGTTTCATTATTCCTTCATTACTTGGTGAATGTTTATTATTAGTTACCTTGTTTACTGATAATTATATTTTCATTTTCTGTTCGTCGTTTTAATCAACCGTTAGAATGGTTAGGGTGTTCTAGGTAAAGAGGAAGCTTCTGAACTTTGCTAGTGAGAGGAAACTTCTGATTTAGAGGACAAGTTAGGTTTTGAAATGGAAGTTGGAAGAGAGAAAACTCATTGTCTAATGTATTGTTTTCATGAAAATTTTGTTGAATCACTTTCGTTTTGTTGGGAATAGTTTTCGCCTTTTCGGTCTTGTGCGTATTTTTATGTATTTTTAGTAAATCACTTTCTCGTTTGATATCATGTAACGGAGAGTTCTATGGAAGGTTTTGTTTTGAAATGTTAGATCTCAAGTAAATTATGTTACTTTTGTATTTTCTTATTTTGATGTAATTTTAATAAGATCCAACTTTAGAAACATGCTCGCACTATTTGTAGAATATTCTATAATAAAAAGCTCCTAATATAAATTAGCATTGCCACTAGAAAGTTTAGAAAGCATGATTAGTATAGGGTTTGTCTACTGTTTTTTTGGTGGGGACAGTTCCTCCAACGTAACATATAAAAATAAAAACGTAAGATAACAATTATTTAACGTAACATCACCGTTGAAAATGTGACGCGCAAAGATATTTAATCATCTTCAACCATTATTACACCTTTGTAACATTGTGTAGCAATAATTTGAGATAGTTAAATTTCTTAGTGTTACGTCTTTCTAATATTCGTGTTATGTTATCTTGAATAATGTGTGTGTTACATTAAATAAATGTCATACTAATCATGTAACTATTAGAAACTCGTCTGTACACACGCATATAGGTATTATCTTAAATCTGATAACTGCACGATATGGTAAATATAATATTTTTCACGCAAACTTGTAATTTTTTGGTGTGAAATGTTAACATTAAAACAAACTTTAATGTAATATGAAAGAAGACTACGTTTTTTAGTGTTACGTTTAAACAAAATGAATGTTACACGAATGTACAAATAATGTTACATTCAACAAAAAAATGTTACATTCATCAGACTGACATTGCCATTGAAATAAAAGATTTCCATTTATATATAAATAAGAGTTTTAATGGTTGTATAATATTTATATATATTTGACGGAAGAAACAAAAGGAACGTTTGGCTGCTAGTTGAAAACTATTTGGTCGTTTTCTGGTTTTCATTTTTTGTTTGAAAAGAAAAATCGACCTTTGAATTTAAAGAAACAAGGTTGATTCCATTGCCTCGTTGCATAATCATTATGCCCAAGAAACGTTAGTTTGTTTTATTTATTTTGTTTGAATTTCCCATTCAATAATACAACAAGAAGGGGGAAAGGAAGAATATAAAGGAGCATAGCACATGCGGGTGGTTACAACTTGCAACCACCTTAAGAAGTTATAAATTTAAATTTATAACCGTCCAGAAAAAGTTAAAAACATGTTCAAGACGGGGACAAAATTTCTAGTACTAAAGAACATACACAAACGCTTTGGTCCTTTGTGAAAGACCTCCCACATGTAATATGTAAAGACAACTTGGGGAATATGATATCTATTTTACGTAACAATAATAATAATAATAATAATTTTACTTATTGCACAATACTTCATGTTTTCATACTCATTATTAATTTACTAAGCAGAATAAATATAATGTTACACAATTATATTATACTGTAGCATCAATCCTTAATAAAGGATTGCTGAATATGGATTCTTTGTTAGAGAATTTGAGTGTAGAGAATGAAAAGAATGCAGAAAATAAAAGGGTTAGAGGCGTATAAAAATACTTTTTTTAAGGTTTTATTTGTACTCATTTCTTAAAATTTGCTAACGAGTTTCTATTGTAAATAACCCCAAGATAAAACAAACCCTTAAACACAATACCTAGCAATAATATTGTGTTCTAGAACATAGATAAAGTCTGTAAATTTTTTAGATTATTAATAAAGACGGAAGTGTCATTTCATGAATGAACACATCTGCTTCAAACATCACAACCATTCACATAGAGATACCTTTTCAATGTAAAGATATATTTTCATGGATTAATGTATCTATTACAACAGTTATATATGTTGCTAATAGGTGTTAAGATATGTGTGAAAACATATCACTAATAGATGCAATTGTTCAAAATGTTCCAGATCACAAAATCACACACTTTCACAATTTTCTACAGAAAATCCGCTGCAGCGGATGTTTTATCTACTACAGTGGGTTTGACAGCAACTTGGACTGTCAAACTGCTGCAGCGGGTCACGTCGCCTTTTAACTTGTGTTTTTGTGTCTTAACATCCAAAAAATAATGTGATTTGATTTAAGAGACATATTACAATCTGTCTAACAATTTTAAACAACCTATTAGCGATACGAGGCAGCTTTAACCATAGGGGAGCAAACTGTTGCACTTCAAGAAAGCTAGTTAAGGTATGGCATTCCCCCCTTGACTTCTAAGACAAACCCTAAGAATATATGGTTAATATTATTGAATATTATTCACTTATAAGTTTTTTGGGTGTAAGTTCTTCACAAAAGTCTGGTATTACATGTAACATGTAAACGTAAAGGGATGTGATATTTATAGTATGTAACAATGATTTTGTAAAGAAATAACGACAAAAAGTTTATCTATCACAGACAAATAAATTACGAAAATAGTAAAAAATAGGCCAATATGAAAAGCTTAAGAAAGTATATAGGCCAACTTTTAGTTATAAAAATTAATAGGTCATAACTTGTCAAGTTATAGTTCATAACCAGATAAGTTATGGACAAACTTGTCAAGTTATGGTTCATAACCAGACAAGTTATGAACAAAAATAGACAATAACTTGACAAGTTATGGTTCATAACCAGACAAGTTATGGACAAAAATAATAATTTGGCATATTTATTAACTTATGTAAATTATTGGCCTATTAATTTTAATTCATCTCAAGTCTTGACATATTTTTCTCTTTCTCCCAATAAATTATGTATAATAAATATCATGTTAACGCCCTTACTTTTTAATGTTACAATGTAGTGACAGTCCTTCACATTAGACCAAAGACAAACCTTAAGGTTTTATTTATTTTTTTTATTTTGTAGTTGTAATATTTTCATAATGTGTAAAGATATATATATATATATATATATATTAATGAGATTGATCCTCTCATATCTCACTCCAGTTATGGTAACCTATTTAGTTTTATCGCTTTTTGTAATTTTGTATTGTTTCTTATTAGATCCGTAGCTTCTAATAATTAAAACTAAGGTATTTTTTCAAGTACAGATCGACTTTGACATTGTGTTCATTATCATATTAATCAAAGGAACCTATATTGGAATTGGTGGTGAAGGATTTTTGAAAGAGCCAAAAAATTATGGGTAAAGCTTGGTTTGATCTCATTTATGTTGGTTTTATCTCATTTATGGGTTTTTGGCACTATTCCCTCATGAGCTTGTCGTGGTTTAGTAAATTGTCCCTTAAACTTTTAATTTTGGAAGTTGTCCTTTGAATTTATAAATTTATTGCAATGTACCCCATTTAACTAAATTTGTTTGAATTTTTTTATTAGATTTAAGGGATTAAAAGTTGAGATATTAAAAGATTTGTATTACATTTGAATAGGAATGTTGAAATTTTTTGCTGAACGAACTTTTTTTTACACGAATTTAACAAAATTATCGTCAAAATAGGGCACATTACAACAAATTTATAAGTTCGGAGAGTAACTTACTAAAATTAAAAGTTTGGAAGACAATTTGCTAAATCACGACAAGTTTAGAGGTTGATAAAATTATCTAAACGTCAATTGAAAAGAAGCACAAAAGAATCCTCTCGTGTTCCTATTAGTTTGATTATTTTGTTTACTATAATGGATTATTTGTAAATAAAATATCAATCTCGATATTTTTATAAGATCTATATTTGTAATATCTATTTCGTTTGAATGAGAATGTTGCTATATAGAAAAAAAAAAGAAAAGCAATATGCACATTGCAAAAAGAAAAATGATTTTTTTTCCCATTTTATTTGTGTGTCATCATGCATAAGCATGTTTCTTCCTTAAAAATTCTCTCCAATCTTTACAAAGGTAGAATTTATTCTCCAATCTCTATATTTGATACTAAGAAATCAAATCCTATAAGCTCAACTAAAAACATTTTTTTTTGTTTTGGTTTTTTTTGTCACACTATATATGCGTTGTCTTTTAAACCGTTGCCATCTTGGATTTGCCGTCTTGGGGTACCTTTAGTAAGATTGATTCCATCGGAGGAAAGGACCCATGTTTGGTTTTTCCCTAATCATGTTCTCCACTACGCTTAATCAAAGATATGACGAACTATTGCTCTCAAACTCACCATCAACTATTGATTAGCAAAAAAAAAAAAAAAAAAAAAAAAAACCCCCCCAAAAAAAAAAAAAAAAAAAAACCCTCACCATCAATTAACAGGGTCAAATCATGATTAATTTGTGTTATGAGTGGTGCTGATTATTTCAGTATGGCATTTCGCCATCAAACAAGTTTATATATTAATTAATGATGATCATGTACATCATGTGTATTATTTTCCATGTATTCTACTCGTCTCTCTGTTTTTTTTTTTTTTTTTTTTGGTTGATAAATTAGTCTCCTCTTGTTATCAATATGAGTACATCTACATCTACATGGACCAAATG